AACGCAAATTGCCGCCCAGACTACTTATGAGTGTCTCAGGCAGCTGCCTGGCAGCGTTGAGGGTGGTTTGGGGTTTGCCATGCAGTTAAAAAAGCCCCAGAAGGCGAGCTGCTTTATTATAGTGCCTAGAATTCAGCAAAGAGCTCGTGCCAACCTCAGCTCTTATGGGCATCAGCTCCTTTCATCCTCTTCAAAACAAACCTGAGGGAAACTGAGGCTCCAAAACAACTAACTCATTTACTCAATTCCACGTGGCAATTCAGTGGTGGGTCTCTAGTCTTTTGTCTCTCCCTACACAGAACTGATGGGAACATGAAGACCGCAGGAGGGATCACATGACCATCCATGAAGTCTTTCATGGGGAGCTGACTTGAGCACGGAAGGAACTTGACCATATCTGTGGAGACTGGGGACAGATTTTCCACATCCTTCCTAGGCCAGCTCCAAAGATGACAGATGACACCCAAGAAGTGCAGACCCCAGGAGCGTGGGGAGTGCATCCCTGGGAGCGGCCAGAGGGAGGCAGGAAGGGAGGGAGCGAGGGAGGGCGGGAGGAGTTTGGATCACCACTGCAGTGCCAGATGCTGAACTCATTAATAGCTGCTTCCAGGAGAGCTTTTAAAGTATAGGAAAACCACGAGTCTGGGACAGGGCTTGGACAAGAAACACGACTCAAAACCAGCTTGTATTATGTATCCTGCAAAGGTCGTGCTTCCACGCACAGCAGTCATCGAGCTTGCGTTTGGTGGCACCCCCAACCCTGCTCATAACCCTTGTGGCTCCCCTGCCAGGCCTCCAGCTGCCCCGCATGTGCCCCACGCTGCCCTCACGAAGTCCACAGCTGCCGCTCACCAGAGGAGCTTCTGTGCCCCCAGCCTGGCCCTGGGCCATACCGGCCACTCGCTCCTCAAGACTGTGCCTCTGTCTTCTTCTGCGACTTCTCCACACGGTAGTGGGCTCCAGTCCTGGTGGCATGAGGCAACATGCCCTTCTTACCTCAGATTCTGTGGGTGAGGGAGCCTTGTATGGCTCACCTGGGTCCTCTGTAGAGAAGGTAGCTGTATAGAGTTGCAGGTCAGTCTGCAGCTCCCATGAGGAGCCAGCTGGGGTTGTGAGCCTGAGGCCCTTGGGCCGCACTGACTGGTCCCCAGGGCTGCCTTCCTTTCTGGCCAGGTGGGCCTTGCCAAGGGCTTCATGGGAGGGAGGATGGAGTGGCTGGAGCAGGCCCGGAGGGGCCCTGTGCAAAGTGCTGGGTCTAGCCCACAGGAATGGGGAGGCTGCCCTGGAGGCAGGCTGCTGTGGCCACTCTCTTAGAGGCTGCCAGCCACGAAGTCACACTGAGAACTGGCCCAAACGCTCCTAGTGCCCCCACCAGGCTCAGCTGTACTTACGCTCACATTTCCCTGCTCGCCGGCCCGCTTCACTGCTCTCGAGGTCTCCTAAGAGGACAGAGGACTGAGCCGCTGTCATGCTGGTAGGTGTGAGGACGCACCTTTTCCCTCAGCTAAACAGCTTGCTAACTTGACAGCTTAGCAAGGCCCTGTCTCAAAAGGTATAACACAAGAAAGGGGCAGGGATGCAGGTCAATGCAGAGGCCTGGGTTCAGGGGAGGCGCGGGCCTTCCTGGGGCAGCGTTTGCCGCCAGCACCTGGCTTCGGGCCCTAACTTCTGCTGGGATGCCCTCCTCCAGACTGCAGAGCGGAGGCGGCCTCTCTCTGGGGCACCTTTCTAGGCCGCAGCTATGCGCAGAAGCATGGACAGCAAGCTTTCTTGCGCTCCCAGGATGTTCCCGACACGTAGTTTGGGGGCAGACTTCAAAGAGATCCCCCAGCCCCCACCCCGTCACTCAGACCCTTGTAGGTGACTCCTCTGCACTGGCTAAGGGTGCACCTGGCACCCCTCCCGTGTGCCCTGCCTCCAAGTGCTGACTCCTTGCAGGTGAGTGCTCTGACGATCACAGTGCTCCCTGTTCCCCAGTCTCCTTCCCGAGGCCTGCTTCCATGCAGGGACATTCTAGACACTCTCTGAGTCACAGCACAGGGAGGCTGGTGAGGCTCACGTAGGCTAAAGGACAGACTGACCCGGGACAGGATGAGGGCAACGATGGCCTCTGCTGCTTCAGCTTTTACCGCGTGCCAAGGCCTGCCGAGCACCGCGTGAGTGCTCCTTCTCAAGCCTTCGAGAAACCCGCTGATATGGGCACTGCTACTGTCCCTGACGTAGAGATGGAAAGTGCAGTCAGGGAGTCTAAGGGGACGGACGCAGACCACAAGGTGGAGAGAGGCAGCCCTGGATCTGCTTCTGGTGTGTGCTTTACTACAATGGTGTTTTAACAGGGGATTTAATTTCCAGCTGTGAGCTGTTCCAGGGAATGGGCTAAGACGATGAGCTGACACAGTGGTCAGGCATGGTTTTGCTCTTGCAGGCAAGAAGCTGGTATGAAACATGAAAAATCTTATACTTGATTTTGGGTCTACTTGACCAAGGAATCAAGATCAGTGAAAGCCAGCTGTGCGCACGCTGCTCACTTTCTGGACTCAAGCAAAGGGCAGGCAGCAGTGCAAGCCTCTGACGAGGTTTTATTTTCTTTTGTCCTGAAAGCAGCAATGAGGATGTGACTTGGAACTCCATTTTCCCAGCCTGGGGGTGTGGCACAGACACTAGGTGTTTATGTGGGCATGCACAACGACCCCTCCTGGAGCTCCCCATTGTCCCACACTCAGTCAGCACAGGTGCAAACCTGTGCCCGGCTGGTGCCCATGTGGTTGTCACCACACAGCTGCCTCTCCCAGCTCTGCAGCCCACACCCGGCCGCGCAGCTGAACACAAAGCCTGAAGAGAATCCGAACCGCCAATGCCAGGGTGTCCGCAAGTCTCTGGCCCGCAGGCTTTCTGGGCTGTGCAGATAACTGGAGCGTGCTCCCAGAGCCCTTCCCAGCCTTCGCCTTCCAGCGGGTTGGAAAGTGGTGGATAATCAGCATCAGCTGGGAGTTCCATCGAGGTGCACGCTCCTGGAGCTGTCACAGACCCTTCGGCTCAGCCTCCAGGCCAAGCTCAGGAATCTGTTTCAGGGAGCTCCTCCAGGATTCTGACAGTATCCGGGTGGGAGACACCCACCCCGGCATGAGCCCCCGCTCCCGCGCAGGGCCCTACCCCATGGGCCAAAGCTTGCCACCTCTGCCCTCATGGACTCTGGAGACAATGCTGATTGGCAGCTGCTGATTGACAAGGAGCAGGGTCGGCCTGAAGGACAGCGAGGAATTTTCTATTTCGCTGGCGAAGTCTCCCATGTACCTACCTAGCAGTCACATGTGTAACCCTACTGCCTGCTTCATTTGATTTAGCCAAAGTATCTTCTTTTCTGGATCCTACTATAGGTTTGCATTTCCAACATTAACTATAAGGTCGTGGTGGCAATACCTGCAGCCATCTTCCATCTGCTTTGTATTTACGGTCTCTGATCTTAGCAACTTCGCATGGTGCATTGGAAACCGGCTCAAGAGGCTGATTTCCCCAAAACGCACATCTAGGAAATGGAGGTGTCCAATCTGATGTCGACCAGAGTTCCTTCCATCCTCTGCAGGCCAAATCCTAGTCTGAAAGCTCCTTAACCTGCTAATGCTTTCATTTCTCCACATGTGCAGAGAAGTGGGCACATAGCTAACTCCTAAGGTTGTTGTTTAGCTTGAAGGACGTAATTTATGTAAAACAATTAGCACAGTAATGGAAATTTTAATGGTCATTTCATGCACCAAGGTTTCCCAAATATGCCATGGAAAAATGCTTGGTCCCTCTAAACAAATGCTGCAAATTACTGTCAGTGTGGGCTGCGAGCTTAGGGGCCCCTCTGCTGTCCCCAGAGCTCATCAGCATACATAGGCCACCAGAGCTCCCCAGTAAGGATTCTCCCAGCTGGAAGACGGCAGCATGTTCAAAAGCCACTGAAATTGTGCTCGTGTGTTCCTGCCCCTGGAAGGAGAAGAGCCTTCTGGCTTGTTTGGAACAGGGCCGCTGGGGCAGTCCCAGCCTCTGCTTGCGCTTGCGCAAGGCTCAGCCCAAATGAGGAACAGACTGTGGGCTTGCTTTGATACTGGCTGTTAATCCCATGGCCCGGTTTGACACGGTCTCCTAGCAACGCCCTGTCCTTTTCCCCTCCTTCATTCTTGTGCTTCTAGCAGCACTTCCTCTCTTCTGCCCTCCCTGGGCCTCGGTTCTCAAGGCCCCCAAGTTTCTGGCTCACAGAGATGCCCTGAGCACGTGTTTATGTTAATAATGCTACGGGGAGGAACAGCCTGTTCTGGGGACTGCTTCCCAACTGTCGCGGGAATCGGTCTGGACAGAAACGTCACTATTTCCCCAAAGACACTTGGGAGCAGAGTAGCAGGTCTTCGCGGGCCTAGAGCCAAGCCCCTGTCCTGGGCCCAGCCCTCTGGGCTCCTCCCTCCTTTTCCACTCCCGGGAGGTTTCCCTCCATGGAGATGTGAGGATTTCCGAGCTAGAAGGGTCCTTGAGATCAGCCAGCATGCAACGCAGAGGAAGCTTTGTGTGAATACCCACGCCTGCGCCCGTCCACTGGGGTCCTGCAGCAGTCACTAGGAAGGCAGGCAGAGAGCACTGTTCAGCATTTTCCACGTGCCTCTCAGGTGCAGCCAGGGCTGGGGAGCTTGTGTAGCCATGCAGCCTCACAGCCTGAGGCATGGGGAGCCCGGGCTTCTCTCAGACTTAACAGAGAGCAAGAGACAGGACAGAGCCTTGCCTCCCAGTCTTGGGGTCAGTGAGTTCTGGAGGGTCCGCTAGCCTGTGTGTCCAGACCACTTGGGGAGCCCCTTGAAATACCGCGCTGCCCATCTCCCTAGGGCACCGACGCAGAGACTCTGGGAGGACTCTCTCCAGATGAGGAATGTCGGGGCCAGGGCACAACTCAGCGGCACAGACCTGCCTGGCAAGCCTGAGGCTGAGTTTGATTCCTGGTTGTTCAGAACAAAATAAAACCAATCTGAAAAAAATCCTTCTGCCTTTAAAAAATAAAATAAAATAAAATAAAAAATAAAACCAATCAGAGTTACAGAAGAACATTAGCCTGAACACCAGGTCTGGGATCAAAAAAAGTGAGGTCCAGCCAGTCTGGATCTACCAACTACTAACTGGTTCTGACTGGCCCGAGGTCTCAGGTGCTGCAAGCCTGGCCCCACTGAAAGGCGGTGGGACGCTGGAGAGGCGAGAGCTGCTGGGAGGCCTGGAAGCTAGGGCCGTGCCCCCGCAGTCTTGGTCCCTGTTTATGGAGAAGGGTCCAGCGGAGCAGGCTGTCACGAAGCCAGGTGCCTTCTGCAGATCACTGACATTCCTTGTCCTTGAGCACGTCACTTGCCATGCCACGTGTGCTTTGCCACGTGATGTCCTCTGCTCTGTGCAGCATGCTGCCCTCAGCAGATGTGCTTGCCACTCTCACTGCCACAACAACAGGCTATGTAAACCCTTCTGCATAAAGCACCCAGCCTCAGGTATTTTGTCACAGTAACGCAAAAGCAACTCGGACACTGCAGTTCTTCAAGAAGGTTATGCGGTCTCTGCTTCTGCTTCCTCATTTGCAGACTATAAGCCAAGCCTTGCTCATCCTTCAGTCCTGTAATTCAAGTGCACTTTGCCTCATGATGCTGGGCTGAATCTTCAGCGCAGGTTAGTTACAGACCTGCCCAGGAGGCACCCTTGGATTCCTGCCCTTCTGTTTGTGACACTGATCACAAGTGAAGGCTTTTATTCCCGCACATTGATTGTCCTGAAAGTTTTCACACAGGGGTGGGGGGGGGGGCAGGAATCGCGGAGAAGCCTCGATGCTCTTCCCGCAGTGGCGAGCTGCAGCCCTAGCCGGACTGCTGGCTTTTCAGGAAACCGAGGCAGCTCCCACTGATGCAGTCCGCCGTGCACACACGCACACTCGCATGCATGCGTACACTGCTCGCTCACAGGGGACGGTGGCCGTGCCCGTGCGGTGGAGACTGCGCTGCCTTTGAGTGCGTGCTCCCCGAGGGCGGCAGCTGTGGATTTGGACCCCAGCTCAGCCAGGCCCTCAGAACTCGGCAGCTGGCGGGTGACCAGCACCAAAGTGTAGGCCCGGTAGGGCCAGAACTCCGGGTGAGTTTGGGCTTCCTGCCGCCATCCCACTGCGCGTTTGCTGTGAGGAGGAGCTGGAACTGACAGCACTGGCTTTGAGGTCCCCGAGCTACGCGCTAGCCAGCCCTGTTTTTTTGTTTTGTTTGGCCAAGACGGGGTCTCACTAAGGCGCTAAACTGCCCAGACCGGCTGGAAGTTGCCGCCTCTGGCTTCAGCCTCCTAGGGCGCCGGGTCGCAGCGTGGGTCGCAGCGTGGGCCGGCTGCCTGCCGCAGTGCTGCCTTTCTTTCCCGCACTGAGGAGGCGCGAGCCGGTAGGCCGATCTGGAGCCTGCGCAGCACAGCGACACTGTCCCAGACTGGGGGCGCCCCCTGCCATGCTCCCTGAGTACCCCGCGCCTGGGGGGCGTGCCTGCTCAGCTCTCTCTGGCTTGCACACACACACTGCCATTTTCTCCGTGGCTTTGAATTTTTTTCTTGAACAAAGCAGACAAATGTGCAGAAGCAATCTCTAAGAACAATATTGCTTGCAAAGCCAAACAAATGCCTGGCTTCTGGAAGCACATGGCCCTTGGCCGCCCAGGAGGAGCGGCGGCACCGCTGCCCCCGCGCCTCTCCAGCTGCGTCCTTGAGCTTGGCGGAGCAGCGCTCTCGCCTTGCTGCGCGGCTCTGTGCTTCCCACTGCCGGATGCGCCGAGCCCTCGCGCTTCCTCGTGCTGCATTCTTCCGCCTGTGGGAAGGGAGGGATCGCTGCAAGTCCATTCTTCCCAACCTCGTGCGGGCAGCCGTGAACTCGGGTCAGATGTCGCCTGTCTCGCAAGCGAGGGTTGAGCGTCTTGAGTTCCTGTGTTTCTTTCCCCGTAACGATTTAAGCAGCGATGCACGGGAGTGAAATGCTGACGTGGACAGCCTGGGACGGGGGGAGCGCCACAGAAGCGCGCTTCGGAGACAACGAGGTCGTGATGGGGAGATCCGAGGGGATGAAGGACAAAGCTGCCGGAGTCCTGTTTCCCGGAAGCTGCGTGTTTCACACTCTCCAGGGTCTCCCTCCCTTCAAGCCACGCCCACAGGCGTAGCGCCTCTTTCTCTGCACCCACTGGATGGTCACCCATGGACTGTTTCTACCCAACACTGACTAGTGTCTGTTAAGACATTTTTATGTTTTGAAAGCAGTGTTCATGGACATTAACTTGTTGTTTCCTCTCACACGGGTATTTAAATGACCTGGTTAATGAGATGCAACCTTTTCAACCCTTGCTTGCCATTTGAGGAAAATGAGGCAAGAGAAGTCCGGTGACTTGTCCAAGGCGAGGCCTGCAGAGTGGTGAGTGTGACTCATGCCCCGGAGTCCAGGCCACACTCCCGCGTTTCCCTTCTTCAGCCAGAGAGGGTGGCTGGCACCAGACTCATCCAGGGTCCCCTCAGGGGACTTTCAGATGCTCTCTTGTCCTTCTGTCCCTGCTCACCTAGGGTCTCTGTTACCTGCTCTTTCTTCTATTCTCAGCTTGGATTTGGGCTTCCTCAGGGTGAGACAAGCAGGGAGCCTCCATTCCAAGGCGGTCATACCCAGGTGTGATCCTGTGGCAGAAACCTGGAGGGAGATGCTGGGCTGAGCCCTCCAAGGGTTACCCAGGTGCCCTGAGCTCTCTGCACGGCCTGGTGCCTCCCAGAAGATGGCTCCCTCAGTGGGAGCAGCATCCCAGACAGATGGCTTGGGCTCTCACAGGAAGGAGGTGGTCCAGGGTGCGTGGAGATGAGGCCGTAGCTCCAGCCCTTCTGACCCTTCCTGGCAGAGCACTGCCTTCGTCCCATGGAGCGGAGTGTGCTGGTAGCCAAGGTCTGTCTCCCATCAGGAGGAGCTCTACAGGGTGGGCACTGTGTGTGTCCTGTTGGCTATGGTCCCCTCGGTCCGCAGCAGTGTCATGACGGTGTTGTCGGCCAAGGCCTCCCAGCAGGTAGGGAGTGACTACGTGGAGAAGCAAAGTGAACTCATGAAGTCACAGTGGCTAGTGCCATGCTGGGCCCCAACACTTGCACTGTGAAAAGTGATTCAGACCAAGGCCCCAGGTCAACCTCAGAATTTTCACCCTGAAGATGTAGTATGTGGAGGGCACTTAGAGGACAGCTTGTGTCATGGACCTCTGGCAGTAGGTCAGGCCTGCTACTGACACCTATGGTGGTTGGAGCACAGACGACAGGAACACCAGGGGTGCTGAGGGAAGAGGCTTCTAGGGCGACTTTCTCCATCCTGAACACAAGTGGGTGTGTGGAAGGTCTGAGTCACTCCCTGAAGAAAAGATTTTTACAGGACAGTAACATTCAGGACCGACTACTGGTCAAGGTCACAGGCCAATGTCTGAGCAAACTCCTGTCCGTTGATACTTTGGACAAAAATGCAGGTGGAGCTGGTGACCTGGTGCAGAACCCCTCACCTGCATGTCCTCGACGCCGGTCCTGAGAGGAGCTGGCGGGGAGGCCAATGTCAGAACCTGTGTGAGGACTCTACCTGCAGATGAGCTGAGAGAGAAGAAAAGACCGGCCTCCCACAACCACGCTCTGAGTCAAGTCTTGGTAAAGGATCAAGGGGAAGCTGACCCTGTTAATAATGATGGCAGGCATTCCTGGATATTTAATGTTTCAATCTCTGTGCTGTTAAAGCTCTTTTGCCATTGATCAACTAATTATGTCAATGATTCTGTAAAGTAAACTTTATTATTTGCTTTATTTGACAGTAAATAAGACCTAGGAAGAGGGGTTCCAAAGTGTCTCTGAGCTTGTAAGGAGGTATAAAGATGGGAAGCTGGGTGGCTCCCTTCTCAGCCTTCCCTTCGAGGATTGGGGTAGAGACCCTGGCACTAAGGCTGTGGACAGGAGGCTGATGGCAGACCTGCCTTGGCCCACACATAGCAAGTCTCAGAGCTCGGGCTGGTAGTGGCAAGGCCAGCTCAGCCATAGTGTGTGACTTTGGTTCTTGCCTTCTAGCTGGTGAGGGTAAGCCGAGGATAGTTGGGCGGGAACTTTATCTCCAAAATCTTTTGCTTTGGGCCAACAGTCTAGTCAGAGGTAGGCCGCTCCTTTCTCTAACCTGGAATTTGAAGCAATGTCCATAATACTTCTGTACACTCCTAGCATTTCGGTAGTGACCCCAGCAGGAATAGTCTAGGATTCCTGGACCTGTAAGGATTTGGGTAAAGAACAACATGTCCCCAGGAGGATGTCCAAGTGCACTCCAGCAGGCCCTGCTCTTGCCTGTGCACTTGATCCTGCAGCAGCCTTAAATCAAAATAAAACTCACCAAGAAACATGAAAGGATGCCCAACACCAGCGGTTGGAAGGGAAGGAAAATTAAAGGAGATTTTTTTCACATATAATTTAGAGTAAAATGTCTCAGTTTTACAATACCAATTATAGCAAAGGGGAAGCAAAGCAGGTACTTTCATAGATTTCTGACAAACGTGTGAATTAGAACGCTCGATTTGAAGGCGGTGCAGATGCCTAGATACACAGTTGCCTTGCGAGTTGGGGTGAGCCACCCCCACATACTCGCAGCGATGCTCAAGCAGCATTCGTTAGGTTTCTAAAACCCTGCAGATGGTAGAAACATAATAACCCCAACCAGGAAATGTCATCTATTTTGTAAAAACGTAAGTCTCTAATACTGAGAGTCAGGCATGCTGTGGATTGAAAAAAAATCCATGCAGCATAGTATCATTTGATTTTGTGCATACTGGTACCTAGAAAGGCAGGGTGGAGAGGTGGTCTCAGACTAAGAGATGAGGTCGCCTCAGGGAAACTCTGGGGGAGGGAGATGGTCCACAGGACCACTTGCCATTTATTCATTCACCAAATTTTTAAATTTTTAAAAAGATAACCCCAAGTAGTGTTTAGTACCTAAGCTGTTTCATAATAAAGGAAGTGAACAAATATTCTTGGGATCATGACTGATGCGCTCTAGATATTAGTAGATGTTTTTATGGGACAAGAATGTCACAAGGGTAGATAAAAGAAAGCAAAAATGAAAGGAAACAAAACTATCACCTTTTTCTATTAATAAAATGTCAGGTGTCTATTCACTTAGAGTTTGGAAGTACAGCTACATGGCCCTAACCACAGATGCTGTGTTGGCGCGACAGCCATACAGGCACCGTCACCACTCAGATAGTCCTGTTCAGGTGGCTGGCGCAGGCAGGTGCAGCGACAGCCT